CTGGCTTTGTTTTCATTAGAAATGCTGACTTTAAATATCATCGGGATGATGACAGTTGTGTACAGACTGTTGTTAGCACAAGATCCAGACTACGATAAAGGATATGCCGAATGGTAGAGACAAAACTGGATTGGTAGACTGGTTTCCCAAACCCAAATTTGGCTGTGAAAAATCTAGTGGCAGCCTTTTGTTCTGTACTGATCCCGTAGATGCCAAATTTGGAGTTGAACCACAGTACTTCGTATGGAGTAAATAAAATGACTAGAAAATTCTGTATAGTATGTCATTTGATTTCCTAAATGTTGTGTCAAGAGCGTCAAATTTGGTGGTGAAAAATCTTGTACCAACCTTTTGTTTTGTACTGATCCTGCAGATGCCAAATTTGGAGTTGGACCAAAGTACTTTGTATGGAGTAAATAAAATGACTAGAAAATTCTGTATAGTATGTCATTTGATTTCCTAAATGTTGTGTCAAGAGCGTCAAATTTGGTGGTGAAAAATCTTGTACCAACCTTTTGTTTTGTACTGATCCTGCAGATGCCAAATTTGGAGTTGGACCAAAGTACTTTGTATGGAGTAAATAAAATGACTAGAAAATTCTGTATAGTATGTCATTTGATTTCCTAAATGTTGTGTCAAGAGCGTCAAATTTGGTGGTGAAAAATCTTGTACCAACCTTTTGTTTTGTACTGATCCTGCAGATGCCAAATTTGGAGTTGGACCATAGTACTTTGTATGGAGTAGCTAAATTGACAAGAAAATTCTGTACAGTATGCCTTTTCTTTCCTAAAGCTCAGCATGTTGTGTCAAGAGTACCCTTAAAGTTTCATCGCATCCACATCTGCACTAACAACACTGTACCAGTACTACACATCAAGTCCATTTTCCTCCTGTAGTTGCTCTTGCCCTTGTGCCCCCCTCCCCCCCTGCTGTGCATAGACGATTCGGCATGCAGAAGTTCAGGAGTTAGGCTTTCAGATGTTTAGAGGCCACCGGCCAGGGTGCAACTGCAGCCGCTTGGTTATGTGAACCCTTGTTTTGCCTGCCATTTTGACGCCACAGGATAGCCCTGACCTCCAACGCACAGCCCCCTTGTTTATTTGGTGACTACCATATATGGCAGCCTGTCCTGTTAAACCTTACCCCCTGGCCAGGCCCAGAGAAGGCTTAGCAAAGCTTTGGTAGAAAAGGTGCAGAAAGAAGTGACGTTACGATCACTCAAGGAAGGCAGGGGCTAGGAAGATTACATCCAAGTAGAGAAGGAATTCTCCTGAAGGATAAAGAAAAGTCAGGGAACATAAGGCTGGGAGGTATAGAGCTAAGAAGCCACACATGTCGGATGTGTCACAAGTGGGGATAGAACCCAGGCATGGATGTGTCACAGGACCATTTCAGACAAGTTTTCATCATTACTCACCATATCAGATGGGTCCAGACAACCAGGCTACAAATGTAATCCCCGCTGTGTCGCCCTGTTCCCAATATTCATATATTCACTCGGTCAAAGTCTTTGTCTTTTGGGTTGAAAAATATGAACATAAAAGGAATGATTCAAGTCAGTCAGATTTAGTTGAGAAAGAAAAAAAAACTGTGTCCTTGTTGAACTGCTAGCTGTATGTGTATTGTTGAACCCTACTTGAGAATAAATTGCTGTTTTCAAACATCATTTTCTCCTGTAAACCTAGAAATTGCTGTGTAGACCTGTAGATACTATATATTATTGTAGAGTTTTGGTGTATATATGCGGTATTAGTACCACCAAAATCAGGATTTGGACTGTTTTATCTGGGTATCTAGGAAATCTTATCACTCTCAGTGGCCATCTTCCCTAGGATAACACACATTCCACACAGCCCTCCCCACAGCTGTACTTGATTATCTAACACCAGGTGAACTTGGAAACCCTTAAATGTCAATCACACGTTCGCGAAAAGGACGTCTTTCCAAGATAGTGAAATGTTAAAAAGGCGTGTCAACCAGTCCGACATATTAAAAGTATGTCTAGCTTTGATGTCGGGGGCTGGTGATATTAACCATACAATATATCTGGCGGGATTATATGAATTATGTATCATTATGTCTGCAGAGAAAAATAATAGGGGAGATAGCATGGAAAAATGGATGTCAGCAAGGAGACGTATTTTGTAGGGATTACGGACATGCCTGTCCTTAAAGGAGGGAAGAAAGGGCCACAAAGGAGGCACAGAGGTGTGTCTTAGAGTAAGTCTTGTAGACAGACGCAGATTGACATGAATTCTTCCACACCTGTGCATTTGGTGACATGTCGGATCAATCGCAATCAGCGAACAACCGTGGTTACTTTGTCGTGATGTCACTGAGCCACCGTTACCCTCATTTGGGGATTTGCGGCTTACGTACGAGAGGTACGACGAGGGAGCCCACAATTCTTACAGCCACGAATGTTTGGGAATATCGCTGGCATCGTGATAACAGATAAGCTACTCAGGAAAGAAGAAAAGCTGTATGATTTGGTCAGAATGATAACTGCCCTCATTGAAAGATTTATTCCGATGAAATTACCACATTTCTTCCACCCAGCCCACCTTAGCAAATATGTCAGGTATTCATATTATAGGGGTGGTAATCTTATGTTACACTGAAGGAAAACTGGAGGTAAAATTGCTTATTCAAGACTTGACTAAGCAAGACGAAGAAAAAATAAGGAAAAGCATTAAATTATTACTTCAAGTGGGCTGGCAAGAGTTGATTGTATGACATCAGATAACTTCTATGTAGGAAAGAAGGAGTGTAAACAATGAGTATATTGTTGTAAAGTGGGTTTCCTATACCCAAGGAAAACATTCCATACTAACAGAAAGGGAGTTGTTTGGATAAGACTGAGAGCTGAGATAATCCAAATTCTCCACTCACAAGTATTCAAGAAGGGCTTGTTGAAGACATTCCTGTTAGAATTTGTTGAAGTCTTGATTCAAGAGTTATGATTTTCAAATAAGGATAAGTGTGTTGTAATGGTTCATGAATTTTTACTTACAGTGAAGGAGGCACACAAGCAACATAGATATTTTCAATTTCAGTAACTTTGCTTTGTAGTTTATCAAATATACTTGTGAAATAGAGAAGTATTTGCCATATTTCCAGTCTAGTTCTTGGAAACAGTATCCATGAAGAATCCTTTTTATAGGGTTAGCATCAGTCTTTGAAGTGGAGTCCTGGAGAGGAAATTGTTTACGTTTAATGTGGATCTCCAGCAGAAATGCGAAAATACTCTGTGGTCATGGCTCAACGAGAATTCGGAAGTCCCTCAAAAGTGGTTTATTTTTGGAAACCTGCCAGACATGTGAAACATGTGCTGCTCCAGGGGGGTATGGGGGAGTAGTATCAGCCACTGGGAGATGACAGGGTCAGGGACAGGCTGCCTCATCTGTTGCTATGGCGACGTCATCAGTTGCCACGACAACATCATCTGTTGCCATGACAACAGACACCAGAGACCTGGTTGAAATTCATTATCAATGCTGATGTCATGGGTCAGAAACAGGCTAAAGGCGAGTACTAGGGTCATACCATGAGGGATTGTAGGGGTGGAAAGGTTATGTGAAAAAAGTCGAGGTGTAACATTTGGGAGTTTGCTCCATTTTGGGTGGCCAGCCTCTTTCCCAACATGTAATAGTAAATAGGGTGTAACTTTTGACATTTTTTTTCACACAACTCCAATGCATTCAAATCTTATTTTCATGTCTTCTTACAGAAATTCAGTCTGAAACTACAGTCAGAATATCTTAAAAATGGTATGTCTTCAAAAGGTAGAATGAGCCTCAGTTTATGAGGTGTTAATTTAATCAGTCCTGTTGTGTTTCCTGCTTTCTTATAATGTGAGAACTACATTCCATTTCCCCTGGATTTCTGTTTTGAAAACATTTACATAAGAGGTTTAAAGAAGCCACATTCGAGGGTTTTACTGAATAAGACTGGTGGGAAAAAGATCACCCTGTTCTTATGTCAAAAAGGTGTGAAAAGTGCCCCTGTGTTAAGCTGCTAACATTAAATTATTAATCAAAACAGATTTCCTGTTTTAGAAAGCGGTATCAGCCATCTCGCATTTTTTTGTCTTTCATTATTTTTCCCCACATTTGTGAAACAGTGTTACATTTTGAGGCAATTTGTGGTTGATGGAAAAAGTCTTCAGATTTTTCTCAAATAGCATAACAATGATCTTGTAACAATGGATTTGGATATTGGGATGGGGACTTATTCTATACAACATTCAATTGCTTCAAAGTTCGTATAATTTGTGAACAAGACAACTTTTTAAAAGTTACAGAGTTAGGTCAGAATAGCTATTGGTATTATGAATGATGAAGCCTCATTAAAGGAGACCATATTTTTTAAACCTCCTTGGTACAAGGTCTCATTTTGTATTCTGCCAGGTTAACTACCCTGAATATATTATTGATAACGTTGATTATATGGTGTGCGAAAGCAAAAGCAGTTTCGTATTGGGATTTGAACGATCTTCTGTTGTAGTGTTAAAAGTTTTGTATAGCGCGCCTACGGGACGGTCTGTGAAGCAAAGAACTCATGCTGTAGCGAGTAATCTGAGAACGGCTGCTTTAGCCATTGTGTTAACCATTTTCTCCTTTTACGCGCTCCCCTCGGTCCCGCAAAATACAGCGTAGCGGGAGGCCCTGTATGACAATAGTTCGCCAACGAGGGCCAACGCTCCACACGGCTTTTTTCAGGCCCTGAATTAAACTTTCATGAGAACATGCTGCTAAGAGTAACAAAAAGAGAAATCTCGAGGGAAAGCAACAGTGGCAACTACCTAGTTTTTTCCTTCCTAGCTTTACCCCAAAGGGGAGCATTAGTGTATTTTCTATGTAGAGTGTATGGCATTCATAGTGATTGTGTGTGTGGTCCCGGCTACCAACAGGGGCATGGTGATTGAATAGCTTGGTAATTTTCCATGCATGGCCGTGAATAATGTAATTTATTCCTTTCTTTCTTTTCTCTTTCTGCAGGGGATCAGCTGAGAAATATATGTCCTCAGGGGCAGACGTGTTGTACGGAGGAGATGGAGGAAAAGCTTGCCTTGCAGTCCCGCGTGGACTTTGAAAAGCTAGTCTCAGAAAAGACAGCGTTTCTCAGAAGCACTTTTATATCAAGAACAGAAAAATTTGATGGTAAGTCACCCAGAACGAACACAGACACAACACACATATGTAACACATGGTACAGGGTATCTCAACAGTAGGGCTGGGAAAATTCTTGCCTAGTTTTGATGGGGGAGTGATAAGAAGGTATGTGATAATTGGGGATGGCTCATTAATACCCTCTTCAGGGATGGGTGCTGCCTGTACATTCATTGTGTGCAATGCTATCTTCTAAACTAAAGCACATACGAAATAGAAAACTGTATCTTTTCCCTAAAAAAAAAGAGGAGTTATCCAGACTGTCAAAACTGTACGTGGGGTATGGTTGTATTCTATGTATCTCTACCCAGAGAACTAATGAATACGGCACATACCAGGATTGACATTTAGCACAAGTCTGCTAGGTATGTCTGTCACTGAATTGTGGAGTGACAAGAAACACGCAGAACTTTAAAGTGGGCTCTTCCTTTCAATTTTCACACTGTGTTAGCGCTTGCCAAAAAGATGTCTCCTTCCGAAACAGCTTCATTTACTTGGCTGTGCAAAGTGTACGATATATCAGAAAGAAAAATGCCACCTTTGCAATGTGGAATGGGCTTAGTTGATTCTGCATGTTGTTTCAGCCTTGTGTGAAAAATGCTGACACTTAGGCGCAAATGATCTCCATACATTATCTTCTGTTTCATTACCTAAAGATATACCGAGAAAGAAAACAAGCCCACTCATTTCTCAAGACATTGCCAAGACAGCGGGAGGGCTAACACACAATCACACCCTGGTCTAAAGTAACGCACAATAGGCAGTCCATAAAGCAGGAAACATTACCTTGCCTTCTTAATCATACACACCGTGAACAAGAGTCGTTGGACGTAATTATGTAGTAAATTTTCACTCCTTGAAGCAGATGGTTGATGAATGCTGATTATCATATGGAAATATCTCCACCATTGATACCGAGGGATGTATAGAAATGCGAGGCATCCCACCAGCATACCGATGCAGAGTTGACAAATCATTAGTGAGAAAATTGAGTGACCTTTAGCTTCAAAAAGACGTCATTTCGTGCCAAAACAAAATTCGGCTTCGAAAATCGGACCTCGCGAATGATGCGTTGTTTGATTG